TTTGTCCAAGTTCTTTAACATAGATGTTCAAGTTCGCAGAACATACATTATCGTATTTACAATCTATTGAAACAGTAGGTTAATATGTAAAGTTCAAGAACCATAAAATAAATCGTAAAGTACATTGACATATTGCTGCGTTTATTATATCCATTAAGTTCTTACACCCTTATCGATTTCTGCGTTAAATAGTGTCACTCATCCGTTTTACAGATCTATTTCAAGAATTTTACCTGGTAATGAACATTTAATACACAACAAAACCAAAGAATCATACACAACACTTAAAAAGCTGTTACATGAATGTCTAGTGAATAGGATTAAGTGGGGGAGAGTTCTTGGGGTGACAGAATTCAAGGACACATTCGTAAACCTACACAGCAAACATATCCCACCAAAAGCTAGAGAGATAAGTTATAGACTTATCTTAGGGATGACCCCTATGGTTAGAAGAAGAGCAAATGACCGTGCATGTATATTATGCCATCTTGAAAATACTGACAATGAGAAACATATGTATTTAGAATGTCCATTATTCCTTCAAGTTAGAAGTACTGTAAGGGACTTATTAGAAGCAAACTGTGGCAGCTATGTAAATGTTAACTTGTCAATTGTATTAAACAAGCTGCCAAAACTGAAAAATAAAATGATACATAACTTTAACTTAATTATTGTTTCCGAATACAGGAACCTTGTTTGGGCTAGCTGACTCAAAGCTCTACATAATAATAAGGTTTTTCATCCTAATCAATTAGAATTGACATTTAGAAAAATAATGGATTTTAGGATAGAGAATTATCTAGTTTGATTTTCATATACTTGTACAATGCTCAGGTAGTTTTCCAGAAATGGGGTGATGGGGGTCAGGAATATTTGATATTGTGTTGATTGTTCTGGGGTAGAGGATACTTGTATCATTGTTCTGTCTTTTATGGATTCAATGGCTAGGATGGTTAGGTAGTATGTCTTTGATATTAAATAATGTTTCTGTTACTATTGTTGTATTTTTAGGTTAATCAATTTTCAATTGTTTATGATTTAATACTTGTGAATTATGAAAACTTACAAATAAAAACATATTGGAAAAAAAAAAAGCCCACAAAAGAGGCAAGATGGCCCATACAAGAGGCACATTAAGCCCAAAAAAGAGGCAAAGAAAAGAAAAGGCCTAAGGCCCAAGGATTCCTATGATGATAAAGCTAAAATTAAATAGCGCAAATTCTGAGGTTTCCTTTTTAAAAAAAAAAAAAAAAGAAAAAAAAAAAAAAATTGTGTAGTTTCGTTTTTTAAGGAAAAAAAGTTATGTAACTAATAGGTAATTAACTACTTTGTGGTGGTATAAGCTAAATTATTCCCCTTTATGGAATTACATGACTGATCCAAGCTAATTATGTTAGTGTCTAATGTGATGTTGGCATTGTAATCTCTTCAGTACTAAATTTTAAAAAATTAATTAATTATAAAAAAAAAAAAAGTTTAACACTTTAAAAAAAAAAAAAATAGGTTTAACACTGGGTAGACATAATGTCTCCTGATAGTCTCGGTCACATTTGAGTTGACTGTGACAATTCATTAACTAATATGACTAAGGCTGGAATGATTTATGAATGAATTATTCAATTTTATGTCTTTAATTTACTAACTTTGCTTTTATTGATAGCAAAATATTTCAAATAAAACACACAAAAAAATGAGCAGTTCATCTAGCAACATTACATGACCTGGTACCTGGTAGGTCGTAGAAATTTTTATCTTGGGCAGTAACCAAAGACATTGACATTTAAAACAATTTTAACGTCAGTGTCTTCATTCACAAGGGATGTGAGCACTTGTGAAATCCACATGTGGTCAGTGGTCCTGGTTCTGTATGTGCATAAGCTTCATTTGCAAAAAGGAATTCATAATTTATCAACTGTAGCAGGTATAAACACCAATGAACAATAGAAATCATCACGGAATATATACAATTTCTCGATAATGTTGACTGAATATGTTACTTAACCTTAGTTAGGACAATAATAGAATATGCCTCCCCTGTTTGGGACTAGAAACTAGAACAGACACAAAATAGAGCAGCGCGATTCACGAATACAAACGAATATTCACATTTGACTAGAGTAATACCTTTAGTAAAATCACTCAATTTAGAAAGCCTTCAGGAGAGAAGACTCAAAAGTAAAGTATCAATTATAGATAAAACACTGAACCATAATCTTCAAATACAAAAACAAATTCTAATTAAATACTCAGAAAGACACAAGGATAAAGGCATATTCCTCATTCCATATGCTAGGATAAATTTGTACAAATGCTCCTTCTTCCCTAGCACTATTAGAACATGGAATGCCAGCCAGGAAAACCAATGAATTGGCAGAATTTAAGTCATTGGTTAACATGCATAACTAAATGCATGACGCGTAGGACGTAATCATCTTCTTTTTTGAAGAAACGTCTGTATTTTATAAGATAAGATAAGATACAGTCATAGACAGGGATCCGTTAGCATGTCTGTCTTGTTTGTAATTGTATTTGAGACACAGACTGGATGAAAATGCTTTAAAGCAGTTTTCTTTGTAGTTGCACATTAAACATTTCAATTGTAAATTCTTGACCTGTATTTGTTTGATACAGGACATTTCTTCAGAAATGAAAAATATTACCGGTACGTCAAAGTCTAGACGTCATACAGAGCGTCCGTGGAGTACAATCGTGAAGACAATCCGAACAGCATACCGGTATCGGATTAGGCAACAGCGCTGTTAGCTTTTTGAGACATCGGGCCCTTTTCAAGTCAAGATATTATGTGTCAGTGCTTAAATCTCAAATGCTCTTTTAAAAATATTTTAGTACTTTGCTGATGGCTGTCTTATATGCCTCATAGCTTGAGACATCGACTTACGGCTCCACGCCATGAGGTCGATTCCACATTCCAAGAGGGAGTTCTTGAAAGTGTCTTTATGTCGATATCAAGAAACGAAATTTGAAAAAAAAAATTTCATTATAAGTATGCACAAGAGCGGTAGTGAAAGTATAAATTAAAGCATTCCCAAGGTACGCTGCTTTCACTAAAAGTGACTTAAAGGCCAACTGTAGAGTATTTTTTTGAGTTAATACAATGTGGCATTTTTACCTGATTGTCTTGAGCCAGAAGTTAAGCAAAGGGAAGAAACAGTGAAATATCTTGTTACATTCTTAAAACTTGGTTAGCTCCCCTAGTTTAAAAAATCAAACGATGTAGTATTTAATTACATGATTTAAAATAAAAGAATTAATGTTACCTTTTCAGACTCAGTGATCTATTGGGCAGATTATGTAAAGGTCATTTTGTTTCTATGTACAATAACTTACAAGGGTGTCATGTGGCCAGCACTTTACCACTCAACTACTGCGCCTCCAATATATGATTAAGTAAAACCATGTTATATTTGACTACAAGCACTAGATGTCATGGTAAGCACGAGATGTCACGGTAAGTAGCTGTTATTAAAATAAATAATTCATTATTTGTTGAAGTTAATTAAGAGTTCACTTTGGAAATAAATCTTTAGGAAAAAAAAAGTTGTCATCCTCTAAGACAGGGGTTCTCAGCCTGTGGGTCGCGACCCCCTTGGGGATCGATTAACGATTTGCCAGGGGTCGCCTAAGACCATCGAAAATTTGGATTGTTTTTGTCTATTCTTAAATTGCTGTGTGTGTGTGAGTGTGGGTCGCGTCAGAGTGGGGGATAGTAAAAAGGGTCGCCGATCTCAAAAGGTTGAGAACCGCTGCTCTAAGAGTTTTCAAACAACTGTCCACTGGTGTGTGTATTTTTTCTTAAAAAAAAAAAAAAACATTAAATTTTGATTTCGTAAATACTGTATGTTGGTAAATAGCCAACTTAGTGTGTAATAATAATAACTTTATTATCCACAAAGAAATTTGTCTTACAATTTGTGCATTACACAAAACAAAACATTATAGCTATAGAAAACCAAAATATACATTCACACCAGGTTCATTCATAAATTACATGTGAAAAGTTTATATTTCATAGTGAAATTTTATTTAATGATTTGATTGCCAGGGGAACAAAATAGTTTTTGTGTCTGTTTGTCTTTGCTATCAGTGTCTTGTATCTCTTTTGTGATGGTAAAATCAAGAAATCCTGAACCAAAGGGTGATTTTTTATTTCTAGACAGAAACTTATTAGCTTTCTTATGAATGTTTTTCTATAACAGCTGCCCAAATGAGGTTCGCTTTTTGTCAATGATCTTACTAGCAGCATTGAGGATTTTATAAAGTTTATTTTTAATGCTCAGATTGAAACTTAAAATATTGTCGATGTGAGCGTGATAAAACATAGACAGGCCTTTTCGCTAACATTAAACGAGGACAGTTTTCTTAGTAATCATAATCTTTGATGCCCTTTTTTGCTGATATAATCAGTGTTTGCAGTAAAATTTAATTTATTGACTAAGATAGTACCAAGGTATTTAAAAGTTTGCACTATTTCAATTTAATCATTTCTTTGTTGTTGTTTTTACATTTAATATTGAAAAATGATGTTTACAGTATTTCTCAAGGGCAAGAAGAGCCGCATCATCAGCGAATTTTGTGAAGGAGCAAAAAGGACTATCGGATTGAAAATCATTGGTGTACAAAATGAACCACAGTGACAATGTGACAGCCCCCTGGGGCACCCCTGTGTTAAGTATGCGTGCATTTGATATTACATTGTTTACCCTCGCTCTCTGGGTCAAAAAGTTATTAGCCCATAGTATTATATATGGATTAATCCTCAATGCTTTCATGTTTTACATAAGTAAATAAAGTTGTATAGAATTAAAAGCTGATGAGAAATCAATAAAGAACAATCTTACATAAGTGTAAGTCCAGATGTTTGTAGACACAATTTTAAATATTTAGGATGGCATCGTCTACACCTTTACCCTTTTAGCAAGAAAAAAATGGATAAAATTTGCAAAAATACCTTTTATACAACATAAAAATTAAAAAACACCAAAAAAAAAAAAAAAAAAAAAAAAAACAACTTTCCATCTAACAATGTTTCTATTTTAAACATATTTATTTCTAACAAAGGAACATTAGCGCATCACAATTTTTTGCGACACTTGAGAAAAAAGTAAACAAAAAAGTGGCTTTAACAAACATTAAACATTAAAAAATATATACTATAAGTACTTGGTTCTGTGAGGTTGTTATTGATATGAGCACTCAACTACCTATAAAACACTTCCAATGGCATGCGTCTCAACGAATCCAACTAATGGCCTTCACTTGCGGCTCAGATATTGGATCTAGTGGAACTGCTGTCATTAAAAGGAGAAGGGGGCAAGGATGAGTAACTGGGGTCTAAACCAATGAGCTTCAGCCCTTTTTTATTTTTCTTGACTTACAGGCGAAGCTGAAACAACAAAGTCAACGAGCCTGAAGAATAAACGCTTTGAGTTGCTGGTCTGATGGAGTTTAAGTTGCTCATCTGATGGAGTTTGAGTTGCTGGTCTCAAGTAGTTTGAGTTGCTGGCTTGATGGAGCTTTAGTTGCTGGTCTGATGGAGCTTGAGTTGCTGGTCTGATGGAGCTTGAGTTGCTGGTCTGATGGAGCTTGAGTTGCAGGTCTGATGGAGTTTGAGTTGCTGGTCTGATGGGATTTGTGGCAAGGCTAAAAGTGAGTCATTCTGGCCATTGTTTTTCTTGATTTTGTTCAAGAGAATATAATGCCTGGATAGAAAAACCAAAATGTTATTTTTTCTTTGTTGAACAATAAATAAATAATTTTTTTTTAAATATATAGAATTGGAAACTAACAAAAACTGTCAATATTTGTTGAAGCTCTGCTGAGACAGTCATCCGTGTCAGTAGCACACCAAACATTTTCTCCAAACATTTTCTCGTAGGTGGAGAAAAGACTAAATGTAGCTCAACATAAATGGCTAAGACAAATTTTAGGGGTCAGTTATTGAGATTGTGTCTCAAACAAGTCCTGTACCCAACAAGGAATCAAACACTAAATGAGGTTGTGACTGAGTGTCATATGAGGTTTGCAGGACATGTCCACCTAAAAGAATGTATTACCCATATCAAGAGTTTTAAAGACATGGAGGCCAAAACGAGGAAAGCGCAAACACACTCTCATGGAGGACCTCAGAGCAGTGGACAGTAGGTGGGAAGATGCTTCAGACATTGCCTGATCTTCATGGAGACAGCTTGCCGCCAAAATAATAAATAGATTTATTACTATATCACTTTTTATTATGATGCACAGTGTACTGGCTATGTTATCATTCGTTAAAATAATTCTTCCAAAAATAAGGGTCTTCACAGCATGGCGGTCATGCCAAGTGTTTACAGAGAAGATAAATCAAATGCTGTCTCAAACAACTAGTTTGCCACAATGACAGATGCACACCACTAGTTACTTACTTATCTACTCAGACCCTCCTGCATCGCAAGCTGTCTGCACAAAGATCTGTCACTGGTAATGTCTGAAGCCTCTTCCCAACTGATGTCCACTGCTCTGAGGTCCTCCATGAAAGTGTGGGGCCAAGTTATATGAGGACATCCCTGTTTGCGCACACCACTATGGTGGACATTTATTTGGTTTTTCCTAAACTAGAAACTTATTTCCAAAAGGCTGCTTTCATTATTTTTCACAAAGTTTTGTGCCATTAAAATCTCTCCTTAACTTAAATTGAACAAAGCGATTGAAAATAAATATGTCAAATGTCAAAACAACTCAAGAACAACATGCTAAAGATTTAAAACATATTACTAACTTTCTTCTGGAGCGGTCCTACAAAATGCAGTGCTGGAAAAAATGCCCTAATTGGCGCTTCTTAAGTATTTTGCTTGTCATTAATGGAATCCCTGTGAAATAAACACACACAAAATATGAGTTAGATAAATATTGATTGCCAAACATTAAAGTAGTTCCCAATTGGACTTCAAACATATAAATCACAGAAATCAAAACAAGCACAAACAGTTAGGACTGTACACAAGTACATAACTATATTAATCATAGAAATCCACACAGGTATAAACAGTAGGGATTGTACACACCTTATGGAATCCTCGCTTTCAACTAGTTCAACGTTTTCTGCATCGTTTCTCTGCTATTTTTCTAACGAACGACATGTGTTTCATTAACATCGCAACAGAAGACTTTTGAAACAAGCATCACAGGGTCCTACAAGAATAAAAATTAAAAAATAAGGTTTCCTAATAAAATTGATCTACAAAAAATGAGACCATTTTTTACTGTAAATTTCAGCATAACATCAAGGATGGGCCACTTTTCTCCATAGAGACAGGTAAAAAAAAAAATATATGTAGTTCCCATGAATAGATGGCATGATATCCCCACATGTAAGTTTAAGGTATTTATGATTAAACTTAAAATTGGGGGAGCTACCACCTTCTACCAAGCGCGTCCCCAGGTGGCGGATAGGGGAAAGACCCTTAGATATAAGGGTTAGCTGTGAATAGCAAATAAACAGCCGCGGCCAACTGGTTTGCAGTCATGGAGGATGAGGTAAAGTATTCCAGTGGTTAGAATATTTACCAAAAACATCTCAGAAATCCAGGGAAATGATTGCAATAAACGAGTATAGGGCGCTCTAACTCTAAGCCCAGGTAGATGAAGCTGGTTAGCTAGGGATAGCAGTTCATCTAGGAGAGAAAACTCCGAAAATAAACACCTGCTGCCTTGCAGATGATCTTGGATTATCAAAGGCTATGGGAGCACACCCAGAAAGAAAAGCAGGCTGAAGTCAGAGTTAATGGACCTCCTGGCACATAACACATTGACACGAAACCTCATCTATGTTGGAGTTCTGAGAACGAAGAAGAAGAATTAAACTGAAAGCATACGCATGTGAATCAAAAAGGATTCATTCAATTGTATTAAAAAAGAAAAGGTATCAAAAAGACTAAACATAATAAAAGGCATAGCAGGAATATCCTGGGGCATCTAAAGAAAGCTATACACTGTCATGGACAACTGTCTTTCCTTATAAATAACTGCCAGCTAAACTATTGGAAGGTACAGAAAGTTGGAGAATGACCCTCCTAACAAACAGACAGACAAAGAGATAGGGAAATAAATCAAAAGAAGCAAAGAAATCTGCTTCAAATTACATTAGCATCTAAACATTTACCTACCCAAAGAATTAAAAAAAAAAACATCTGATTCTCTAACAAATCTCATTGACTAAATCTTAAACAACCAATCATTGAACACATTTGATTTTAACAAAACCTTACAAAGCAATCTAATCCCCCAAAACTCAAAGTAGGTACCCTAGAAACATTTGAAAGCTATCCAAAAACATTTATCCACATGTTAACTTTGAAAAAAAATTTTTTAATTATATCAGTGTACTTCAGTTACCGGTACTCCAAAAAAGAAGCTGGGTTAAATTTTTAAAATAGACAATATGATTATATGATTAAATTAGAAATAATCTTACAGAATACACTTTTGTGTTATGAAAAAAATTATTATTTCATAAAAAAGATAGAAACATACCTTCACTAGATCCACATTTGAAACATAAATGACAATACTGATTTATAATAGGTTTCTCATCTTTTCTTTTGGTTATGCATTCTTAGGGATGATGTATAATCCAGCTTGTTTTACTAGTTTTTAAGCTGTAAATAAATAAAAAGAAAATACTGGTCTGCGTTGCAAAAGCCCATCAGTGATCCCATCTGTGGACTTAGTAATGACTTTTGACCTGATGTCTGCTAAGATGTTTTATCTCCCCTTGAACAGCAGCAACAGAGTGACCTGAGTTAATTCATCTGTGTTGTCTTCAGTTTTATTTTTCAAAACAAATATTTCATATGCCACTTAGATTTGACCGAAGACTTAGATCCTCCCACGCCATTAGGCGCACTGGGAGGCAAGCTGTCTCCACAAAGATCTGTTACATGGCAATGTCTGAAGCCTCTTCTTATCGGGTGTCCACTGCTCCGAGGTCCTCCATGGATGTGGTGCCAAGGACATTCCTGTTTGCGCTATCCTCCTGTTGGCCTCCATGTCATCGCAACAGATTGACTGAGGAACATTTCTAAATCATTTCCCATTGTCTTTCCAGTATACAGTAAAGTATGAGTTAAAATGTCAACAGCTGTATGAGTTAAAATGTCAACAGCTGTATGAGTTTAAAATGTCAACAGCTGTATGAGTTGAAATGTCAACAACTGTATGAGTTAAAATGTCAACAGCTGTATGAGTTAAAATGTCAATAGCTGTAGGAGTTAAAATGTCAACAGCTGTATGAGTTAAAATGTCAACAGCTGCTATTTCTTATGATTCTAAATCTCTTCCTCATTGATGACTTGTTCATCCAAAAGAATTCTAAATGAATTTCTAGCTTTTTTTTTTTTTACTCAAATATCACTTTAAAAAATGGAAGTATTTTTTTCCTACTGCCTTTAGAAATATTCTAAAGAATATGGAAAATTCCACTATTGTAGGCATAGTAGAATGCACTATTGTAGGCATAGTAGAATGCACTATTGTAGGCATAGTAGAATGCAGTTAGTGATTCTTTTGGTCCGCATTACTTTTGACCAAATGATAATAAAAATTACTTAAAAGAAAGAATTGAGCTTACTCTGAACATAGGAACCAAAGGGAAGATGCTTGATTTCAAGGCTGAAAGAGCATTTTCACAATATATTGTGTACATTATGACTTACATCTTAACCCAATAGCATCCATTTCTGATTTGAAAAATCCCTCAAAATACCACCTAAGCAAACAGGGGTCACTCTGAATTTTAAAATTCTTCAAAAAATAAATGTTTTGATAAAATAAAAATTTAAGATCTAAAATCTAATATAATAAATAAATAAACAATTTTAAAAATTATAATATGTCTAGTTAAAAAAAAAAAGAATACTTTATAAATAAAATATAATAAAAAAGCTTTAAAAATACCCATTTTCTCAGGGTAGGGGCTTATACACTGGGGCTACAGGCCAGTTCGTTTTTTAAAAAATCTTCAAGAAAATAATAAAAAAGCTTTACAAATTCAGTTTTCACTTTAAAAAATAGTTACCACATTCTAAACAAGGCATGATGAGTTCTTCGTAAGGAAAAGTTGTTTTTTTTTAAAGTTGCTAGCATCCCAACACATTAACCTGCTATAGGACATTACAGTACAGTGGTACAGTACAGAGCTATTGTGTTTAAGTCTAGGATGCAATGGTCGTCAATTTATCTGAAAATATTATATTTACATCCAGACACATAAGACGTGAAGCTAAACTACTAATGGGTATGTCGTCATTATTAGTAAACTGTTGCAAGACAGCAATGTAAACAATGGCTGCATTTACTTTGATTCAATGATTGAGGCATACAGGTGGACCAAATTTTCTTCACTATTGATAAATAATGAGAAAATTTCAAGAATCCATGGTTCACTTCCTCGACGAGTTGCTTCATCCAGATGGAGGAAATATATCTGTTAAGAAATAAAGGATATGAGCTGAGCTGACTTACAAAAATATCAAACTCTTTAAATTAACACAGAAAATGAGATCAAAATTTAAAA